CATGTATCGTTTCTCCTTCCATTGGCTGTTTATCCAATATCAATACAACACTTTAGGAGCCAAATTACTAAACAAGCTGCCAATTAGGCTTGCAGTCAGCTGGATAGATTAGTGGCTAAGAGAGGCAGATACAAGATTTTCATCTCTTGAGCCAATTACGCAAGTGAATTACCATCCACAATGCTCCTTGGAAGATTTGAGGTAGAAAGACTGACTCTGCTGTGATAGACATAAGTGAGATCCAGGGTAGGGGGTAAGGGTTAGCAGGCCATGTATTGCAAAAATTACCCAAGCAAAAAGAGATCCTTCTAGGAAAGGATTTAAAGGATTTAAGGCTGCTGGGAGCGATAGAAGAGGAAATAATAGTTGTGGTATGCTCTGCAAAGGCATTGCTGTTCTGCTCACAAGTCTTAATCATATAAAAGAAAGATGAAAGGCCAAGACTATTTTTATGTACAGTGTCATTTTCTCAGAACTGTTTAAAAACCTGTTTTCTTAACATCAAAAGTAGTTCGGTGGCCAGAGATGAAATTACTTCAATATGCCTTCATTTGTTTCTTACAACTGGAAAGAAAAGAAAAAACAAAAGATGAAAATGAAATTACTTCAATATGCCTTCATTTGTTTCTTACAACAAAAAGAAAAAACAAAACCCAGCATATTTTTAAATAAGGGTTATTTAAGAGATTGAACCTAGCTTATTCTGATTTTTATTCACCCCAATATAAACCAAACATGCTTGATGTTAGTCTTACCCAGCACTTGGACCATACAAATAAATATTGTCACAGTAGTGGTTTATGGGGTCACAGTTCCTTTATTATTCTGTAATAAATGATAACTTAATTGGTGAGCTTTTATGTTTTTTAGAAACATTCTGCAAATAAAATGGATCTGTCAGATCAAAACTGTGCATAGGCTCATTTGTTTCCTGCTGAAGATGTTGTACACTGGTCTAACATTGTTTCTTAAATATGAAGCAAATTTAAAACCTGAACTTTTGCAAGCTGTTCTATCCAAAAATGATTAAACAGATGTGGAGCCTGCAGCAGCATTAGACCTCTGATCTGATTTTAGCTTACAGATGGAATTAAATTAATTCATGGCAATCACTGTAAAATCAAGGGTATGGCACTGAATGCTAGTGTACCGTTTAACCAGGACGTACCTGTCTCAACAGCTGTTAAGAAAAAATTACGTACCTTTATTTTTCATTGAAACCTGCCTTTAATGCCATCATAAATATCATACCAAAGTTAAACAAATGTGATGAGTTTTTTGTTTTCCCCTTCCCAGTTTTGTCTCTTTCTACTCATAGGTTCCATATTCTGTGTATGTAAGGTCATATGCATAATACGTGTAGACCTTGAAGTGTGTCTATTCATATACACAAAGGTTTGAGGGTTGGCCTTTTTTTTAATTTCAGTTGGCAGTATTGCAAAGAGAAGGAATATAGGTGAGGGTATTTTACAGTGCTGTCTTTTCAAGCAAGTTACTGTTCCTCAATGTTTGCTCCTCACTTGTGGAGCAGCCACTTCTACATGCAGACTACTCATCTGGTAGATGAGGAACCCAGTTGTTAGGGTTGCTAAAAATATTTTCAGTCTGTAGAATGAAAAGGCTCTGCACAGGAGATTCCTACAAATTATTAGTACAGAGACTTCCTCATAACTCCTGGAACCCCACAAAGCCTCATACAGCAATAAACTTAGAAAAATGTATCCCCACTTTTTTTTCTTAATCTGATTTTGCATAGTTATGTTTTGTGGGATGGCGCAATGGGTTGCTTTTGCTCTTGCTCCTGGGTGGGTCGAGACTGAACACGTCCCAGAGGTAGCACAGCCATTTTCAAGGCCAATGTGCTTGGACCATTCTCTCTAACAGGCCCTACTGGCTAGTCCAAAAAGTGCCATAGGCATGAATTAAAAACTGAACTTGAAGATGAACATTGCAAGGACAATTACTGCTTTTAATTAGAAAATAAAAGCCCAAAGCACAGGAATGGGGGTCAGGGGAATAGCGCACAGTATAACATGATTTTTAAGAGCTCTCTCCTGTCATGCAGTCAATCAGCAATGCAAATTTTTTTTTCCGATTGCTGATTGGTCGTGGAATGGAGGAAGAGGGCAATACCACTATCCATATTCTTCTGATTCAAGTAAAATATGTTGCATTACAGATAAATTTTTCAAATGATGGGTGAAAATTGCAGGAATATTAAAGACATATAGTATTTATGTAAAAACTGATTATACTGCAAAAGTATGGCCTGCATATATTAAATATTTTTCACAATTAAAATACAAGCTAACATATTCACCTCACTTGCAAGAAGGAGTAACTACTCAATTAGTACAGTAGGCAAGCTGGGTGGGTTTTTGGTTTTGCCTTATTCTTGCTGCAATACAAAGCCTCCAAACACATTATCCTTTGGACAGTGTACATTGTTTGATTGTGTGCCCAAAAGTGGGTTATGAAGCCAAGTTTATGGTGGTTTGCTTTTTTCTTTTTTTTTTTTAATCTGGTGATGTATAAGAATAAAACAAATCTTCAGGGGAGGTTTCAAGTCTTCTAACAGGAGATAGAAAAGTAAGTACAGTGGAGGGAAAAATAGTTATAGTATACATTCTAGAAGTACTTATATGTCTTTAAAAACAAAAAGTATTCCAATTATCCTGTCAGTCACAGAAAAAAAAAAAACATTGAGCTACTTCAAAAAATATCAAAAATAGAAACATCAGTTTATTAAATAACACGTTAGAGGACAAATTGTTCTTTCATATATCTTTTTTGTGAGGTTGCTCTGGCTGTCTTGAGAATTGAAATTCATATAGAAAGGTACATCTCTTACAGGAAAAGGTCTGTGGATTTTTCTCCCAAACAGACTAACAAAAAAGCTGCTTACGTTGTCTCAGGCTATGCCTTGCATACCATTCCAGCAGCATTGCTGTCTTTGCCTAAGCAGCATTATGAATGGTTTAATATTTCCAATTCTTAGATGTTATGAAATATACTCTTACCCTTGCTCTTTCCTGCTTGGCGGATTTGTTGGATCATTCTTCCCTTTTAAGTTTCCCCCTTAATTGTTCACAGACATTCCTTGGAACGATGCTTCATTTCTTACCATCACTTGTTGTGAAAAGTGGACCGAAACACACTTCCAGGATTTTACTTGCGAGGTTTACTGGAATTCTTGTTGAACAGACGCCTTTTTTCTTTCCCTTTTTTTGAGCTAGAAAGTATAACTAAGAAGGTTGCAAAGCCTGTGTTATGTATGCCAGGCAGTGTCAGGGACTTGTCTGTATGAAAATTGCCTCTGCCTGTGGGGGCCTGAAAAGAAAGCAAGTCTTGGACATTGAATTTTGTGTTGGTCAGTTCAAGAGGAACCCTCTTGGGGACTGGAGGCTGCTGACTTAAAAGCCTTTATTTTAAGCCTAGCATTAAGCATAGCTTCAAACCAGTATTAAAGGATGCCTTCTCTCAATGCGGTTCCCTTTTTCTTTGACTCAGGAACTGAGATACTAGGAAGCTGTCTACCATTTATGTAGCCAGCATTTTACTGAATATGAACAGATCTATAGTGGATAATGCTGGAGTACTGTAAATTCATCATCACAATCACCATGAGGTTTTTAATGTGCGCCTCTCATTTTGAACTTCTGTGTATGCGGTTTCCACTGTGGGGCTTTGCCTTTTGTGTGTGTGTGTGTTAAATGAGGCTTTTCAGAAGTGCATGTTCAACTTTTCTTGTGTTCTTGTTTAGTAAGTTAATACAATGATGAGCCAGCTGCTTGTCAGTGGTAAATTCTTGATTGAAGACATTATAGCCTCCAAAAACACAAAACCATAGTCTCCTTTTACAGTATTTTTCAAAAAGTAGCAGGCCAGAATAAATAGGTAGAGAGTTAAACAGGTAATATTTGAAGCTGGGCACGTGGTGGGAGGTTTTTTGTGCTGTTGTCGGGGGAGGGAGATGGTGAGCAAAACTGAAAACAGAATCCAGCTGCCTACAGGCAACTGCTTGTGTTAGTTCAAAAAATTCAGCCCTTCTTAAAATTGTTTGTGTGGTGTAACTTGATAAGTTTTACTGCAGATTCTTGAAATAAATATCATTTGTATCCCTCATGTAAGACAGTTATGTATGGGAAGGCTTATCCATGCATCGTCTCCAAACTAGCTTGAGGAGTTTTTGGTTGATGAGGGGAAAAAAACTTTGTTACTTGGCATTCTTTGGTTTTTTTATGATGCAGTCATGGGAAAAAAAAAGAATCTGTTATTAAAAAAATGAATGTTATATTAACACTTGCAATCCTGACGATCTTTTCAGCAGCTTTTCTCAGAGATCTCAATGGTATGGAGAGAAAAGTGCAAACAACACTTAATGGCATTGAAAATACCAAAAGTAAACTTGGATGTATCAAATCTCTCTTACAACGTTCAGTAAAAGAGAAACTGAGTAAAGATAGAGCTGAATTTCAGAATAGTAGACCACTTGTCTGTACTGTTTCTGTAGTAGCTGTAATTATTTAATCTGAAATGATTTAGTGTGTTTTGTTGAAAGAGATCTTGAGCATTGATAAATATCACTAAGAATTGAAAGATGGTCGTGATACTATGATGTGCCTCGGCTTAGTAACTGTATAGGACAAGAAATTCAGGTAATCTTGCCTGATGTATTGGTAGACTTGTGCAGATGATGCATGCTCTTTGAGACTGATGTAAAATCCACTGTATTGCAATAGAAAAGACCTGCGACAACATTTGTCAAACTTAAAAACTGAGCGAGTCTTTCAAAACATTAAAAATAAAGCAAAGCGTAAGACTGTATTATTTAGAATCATATGCAGTCAGGAGGTCAACATGTGCAAAGACAGCCTGTTCTAGCAACCTATTAGATGAATTAGGAGAATAAGAAGGTTTAAAGCTTTAAGGGAGATTATCCTGCTCTTCTCCACATGGCAGGCAGTGCTGATTAATGCTGTGTGTTTCTTTAATCTCAGGGTTTGTAGGTGAAACCACCCAACCAATCCCAGAAAACAACATTGGAAACAGAATGCTTCAGAGTATGGGCTGGACCCCTGGCACGGGCCTTGGACCAGACGGCAAAGGGATAGCAGAGCCAATACGAGCAATCCAGAGACCAAAAGGACTCGGACTTGGATTTAGCTGACAGAAATGCACTCTGGCTGCCCGATAAAAAGAAAGCTCAAAATTAATTTTAAAAGAAAAAAAAAAAAAAAAAAGAAAAAAAGGCAAACTTATATTATTTGTTGTGATCAGCAAATCCAGTTATTCTTCTCTCAAAGATCACTGAAGTCAATGTGCTTCACATTAGCTACACCAGCTGCAAGGTACAGCCACAGTGACAAAACCGGCATTCAAGTCTAACTTTATAATGGTGCTAAAATGTACAAAAAATCTTCTACTTTTTTATTGTCTGTGGTCTTAAAGTTTGTATTAACCATAAAATTCAGTATATTCACTTTTTTCATAAAAGCTTCTGACACAGCAGGTTTTAGTATATAAGCAAATTTTTTTTTTTAAGTATAATTTCATCTCGAGAGTCTTGATAAGATTTGTCGAGGAAAATGGAACTTTTTACAGCTATTGTGTTTTCCCCCTTTTCAGGCAAAGTTTCCAAACCTGGTGTTTCTAGCGTTTAACAATATTTGAGGATAAGCTGTCATTTTGCCCATAAGATATACACGTTTCCCACTGGAAGGTGATATGATATGCAATTTTGTATAAGAGCATGAAAAATGACTTTGTTGTCATAGGAATGCCATTCCAACACCATTATCTGGCAATGTATCAGTGTCTTCCACGTTCAAGCTCAGAAGTAAAGCTTTTATACTTGTTTTTACATTTACAGGATTATCTTTTATCGGCAAACATTTTAAAAAGTTAGTTTATTCTGACTTTGGATTTCCCTTTATATTAATAATCCTCAGTGTTTCCACATTTAAGAATAGTTTGAGCTTTGAACCAGGAAATTGTATTTTAAAGATGACTGTCTTTCAGTGTTTATATTCTGGGTTTTGGCATATTTTAAACAATGCAGTGTTCAGCATCGTGTTATCATTTGGTTTGTGATTGTGCTGGTGCCAATGAGCCACAACCTTTAAGGATCATGAACAGAAAAAGGGCAAGGAGAAGCAGGATTAGGGTGGAGGAAAGGAAGGAAAAAGATACTTTGATGGCATCTTGCAAATCTAAGCTAGCAATTTAAAATCAAGAGGGATCATTAAGTGTTTTAATCAGTGTCCTAATGTATCTAATGTCAGCAGAAGCAATTTCATTAAGCACCAACCAATCAAGCTCCTAGGGCACTTACTGGTCTGCAGTATAAAACAAGTTCCACTTTAAAATTAAATGATAGAGCTGAAGGAAACTGTTGTTCAGATGGACTAAGGAGAAAATCCTGTGTGTGTCCCCCGCCCACCCCTGTAGTAACTGGCAATATTTACCCTGACTGCAGAGGGAACAGGATTTGATTCTCCAGTCTTTTTTTCTTCAAGAGGAGGAGCCCTCCCTTCCTCTGCGCCCAAACCGCAGAGAAAAATACTTACTTACAGATGCTTGCAAAGATATTTCCTTAGAATAAAAAGAGCACAGCTTCCTTCATGTGACTGTGAAATAGAGTGATGAATTGTTTCACCATACACATAGTGTAGAGAAAAAGGTTAGTACCCAATGTTGTTTTTAATGATAGCTGAATGCACATGTTCTCTGAGTTTCAGGAGAACTATTTATTGCTGTTTAAATACTTGATATGATTGTGTGGTTTTGCTTTTTGAAATGATAAGAAATTTTAAACAGACTTGGGATTTATAATCAAAACATATACTTCTTACTGGAAGGTTTTGGAGCACAGCATAATGTGAGTTCGCCATTTCAAATATCTCTTGCACAAATAAACTGAATTAAATACATTCCATATCCAAAGAATTTCAGGTCCACATAATTGCAAAGGGCTGAGCGCCTGGAATTCTGCAGCTAGCAGAGGTACCCACTTGTATAAGTGTTATTTACAATAATGAATTTATGTGGCATGCTCCCGTTCTTTCAATGCAGTGTGCTACTGAGAGCAAGTGAATTCTAAAGACCTCTTTGTATTCTATACCACAATCAAAAATTCCTTAAAATAATTTTCGACATGTGAATTGTGAAAGTGAATCTTTAAGTTCTGGTTGTTCTAGCTCTATTTGCAAAACTGTAAAGGAATATTTATTCTCTGTTAAAATTCCATTGTTGTGCTTTGGTTACAACACCTACATATCTTGGGCTGGAAATTCTAAGTATGGCACATATAACACTTGTTTGAAGTATTTCTGTGCAATTTACTGTAGCAGTAGTTCCTCAAGAAATCAGTCTGCAGCTCCAAAAGTACTTGAGAATGTTTCCTGTTTTAAAAAGATAAGAGGGAAATAATGGATACATGTTGAGAGAAAACCTCTTTAGCCCATTCAATTCTTTATTCACCCATTCATACGGATACAGTGAAGCAGCCAACCTAGTAAACAACCATAATGGAAGAACTATTTAGTCTGATTGGAAATCTTTCAACTTTTTGTTTTAAATCAGTCTATTAGTGAGAAACTATTAGACATTAAGACTAGTCAAATTGATTTTGATATAGAGATAGATACACCTTGTCCGTTTTCCAGCAGGTATTCTCATAGATGCCACAGCTGACAGTCAACTTTATGTGTTAGAAGCTGTAGAACAAAGTGATTTATTAAAATATTTTAATGTAGTGTTTTGACATATTTTTATGTTGCAGTTAAATTCCCATTCTGACTTACACTATCATTTCATTTCTGTTTTTCCACATCTCACAGGAGTGGTTTTAAAGATATTCCAGTAGTGTGATTTTGCACAGTTAAAACTAGTGTTAAGAAACAAAACAAAAATGCATTGTACTTTTTTTTTTTCATTTTTAAGCCGTTGCAATGTTAGTTGGCTTTGAAACAAGTCAGAGTACTTGGATTTTTTTTTTTTCTTTAGGTCTTTCCCATACCTAACTTGCAATCATACTATGATACCTGCTATAAAGCTGGCTCACATTATTTTAAAATACATATACAGGTATTTTCAGATAATAATTCCTACTGGCTGTGACACTGAAGGTTTTTTGCCTACATAAATAAATACGGGAACATCTTGTATCTAAAAGTTACCTTCCATCACTAGCCAGATTCTTTCCATTTAGGTGTTTGATTACTCAGTAGCTCAGCTGTTACCATAATATTCTGCCTATGCAGAATGTTTAGAGAAGAGACATTACGTATTATCAGCATTGCGTTTTGCTACATGTTCCATGGTGTCTCAAAGTTCTGTGAATTGAGCCATTAACTGTTAATAAAAGAAACCCACGAGCAGTATCTTATTTTTAAATGAATATTTGTCAAAGTCAAAGAAGCATTATCAATATGCTCATTTTAACAAGTTTGTCCCTGCATTTGTCTTTCTGCAATTAGGTCAATAATGAATGGCAGTAAATAGCTAAATAACTTGTATAGAACGCTTTGCTTTAATAACACAAATGCAAGATGAAATAAAATAGACTCTGTTCTTCATGGGTTTTGTATGTTCTTTTCTTTAAACTGCCCTTTTCAATAGCGTTGTAATTACACAGGTGAGTACAAAAACATGCTGTTTCTGAAAATATAATTAAGGTTGCTAATATCTTGTAGCAAGTAGAGGCATATTTTACTAAAGCTATTATGCTACGTAAAGTATTATATATACCTTTTTGCTAGTACTTCTTTTCTAGGTGGTTATTATCAGCTGCAAAGGTTACACCACGACATCAGGAAATGCCTTGTTTAAGACGTTTGCAGTACTTTTGTTATCATATTCTAAGATGCCTAAATACAAGTTCTTTTCACTCGTTAAGTATGTGTATACTTTGATAACTGTGACAGGACTTTGTGCTTTCTCTTCAAACAGTTCTCCAAAACTGTTCTTCCAAGGAGAACTCACACAACCTTTGTGTTACCTTCCCTCTCCCCACACTCCCAGGGCAGTTTCACTAAAGGCGTATCAGAAATGGGGATCCCTTCCCTCTTACTCTAAAGGCAAGAGACTTTTTTAATTAGACTTTCATCCCTAGCAGAGTTTTCAGGAGCAGTGGCATAGTTAGCACACAGCAATTGCATAACCAAGTTGCCCACAATAGAGTCGCGTACCTACGGGCAGTCTGTGTGTTCAGTCTGAAAAAACACAGTCAGAATTATTTCTTTATTGACCTGTAGCCCAGCTGTAAAGCTAATGTAAAATGTTAAAAGAGAAAATGGGATTTTTAAAGATTGTTATATGTTTTTGCTTTGAATTCTCTCTGGAAAAGGTTCTATTGTGGTCAAGTGGAGGTTTTTACAGGTATGGTATTTAAGATTGGGATCTTTTTTTTTTTTTTAATGACCTCTCTATACTGGAAAAAGTCCTGGAGGAGGTGCAGCAATTTCAGCATGGGTGTTCTGCTTATCTCAGGTGGGGTTTTTTGCGAAATAAACTATGTAAAAACTTTACCAGCATAGATTGATATACGCTGTATCTACTATCTACTAAGCTATAAGAGAGTTTGTCCAGTAAAACTGTCAACAAACTTTTTAATGTAAGTGTGCTTTAAGTTATTGTGGAAAACTTTACAAAAGCAACGAAAGTTTCATGATTGACTGGTAGTAGGTAACTCTAGTGGAAATGTTTGGGCTTCCTATGATTCTCTTCTCCTGTCCTACAACAAAACAGATATTGGAGGTATTTTGACCGTGATGGTATATTGTTTGTCTTTGAATATTTAATCTTTAAGTAGAAGGCTGAAAATCACTGAGATTCTGTAAACTTGATCTCCTGCATCTATGAGAACTGTGGTTATTAACAGCTATGAAAAGTGGTTTGAATTAATATGAGGTATTACATCTATAGAAAGTTTTGATGTTGGCCGGACTGCTTATAGCATTGCTATGATGAATTTAAGTACTGGGGAGTCGGACTTCTGAAACTGTGAATATGTCATTAGTCTCTGAGGACTGTATGTTCTATTGTAATATATTTACACTGATTAAATATGCAAGCTTATTAAATGATACTATCTTTCAGAGTATTTGATCATAGATATGCTCAGTTTAATTGTGCCTTGTCCTTAGTGTTGTCTTTCATCCTTAGTATTTGTCCATTTTTCTGAAAAAGTGTAACCCTATATGTCTTTTAAGTGATTATACCTGATGTTTTCTCTCTTAAAGTGTAATCTCATGTGTGTGCTAAGTGATGCCACTCAAGATTTTCTGTCATTTCTGCTAGTCTAGTGAAGTTGTTTTTCAGTACCTCCCTAGGCCAGTTTTCTGAATGGCCTACTGTTGCCTTCATCAGTTGTTTTAAGAGATTTTTGACACTGAAAGTTTGAAATCCCTTTAGCCTGGGAAGGCTGTTGTGTTGGCCTCTGTCTTTCCCATGGCCCCAAGCTGATGAAGACTGGAAGATATGTAATGCTTTCTGCACATAAATATCTCCAGTGACTTCAAGATGTGAAGTACTACATAGGTCTAAAAATAAGCATGCATGCAAGTGTTTGCAGATTGGGGCCTTAACTTCCTTCCCTGTAAAAGATACGGGTCCTAAATTTTCCATGGCATCAGAGTTCCCACAGACCCCTGGAGTCAGCTGCCCCTTTGCTGGATCATGCTGGCCCATCCTCAGCACTGAGTTTCTTTAGAGCACCTGTTTGGCTGCTGTAACGTACAGGTTGGCTTGTGGTTAATGTCAGTCTGTCTATCCTTTCAGTACCAAACGCGGTACATCCCAGCAGTGCAGGGAGTCAGGGTGCCGTTTCAACCTGGAATCTCTCCATTTTGCACAACTCGAAATAACACACAACGAATCACTCATGCCAGGTTGTCTGGGCCACAGTCGACACCGTCAGGCAGTAAATCTAGTACTGGGTAGTTGATTCTGTATGCGTTATGTAGTCTTTCATTCCAGCAAAGTAACATGAAAAAGGGGAAGAAAAAAATACAAGATATTTTCAATGCAAAAAGGATACAGCAGAAAAGTAAGACTTGTAGATAATGGAAAGAATCAAAATCACTTCTGAGGCTATGATGCAATGAGAAAACTGAAATATTCTTAAATTTGGGGGCAGATGAGCAAGGGATAACATGCATCAGAAGTATGCGGAGGGGAAAATGTAAGTGTCCCAAGTAATATTTTCTCCTATTTACAAAAAAAAAAAAAGGTTTCATACAAGACAAGAACAACAAGAAATAAGTAATTTCCATTTTCTTTTAAACTACTATTCTGAGTGATTAAGACACACATGATACAGGAAACTCAGTGCCACAAGATAGTGAGTCAAAATGTTTGGCAAAACAGATTCAGTGTTTTGACCCACCTTTGAAGGATACTGGCAGTTTTAGGACCTGAGGTAAGTTAAACTTCTCATGCACCTACTGCTTTGAATCCTTCAAACTTTCTACTGAGTCAGCTTATCCTTCACTTGTCCACCTTCAAACTTCCTCCATCTTCTTCTCAAGCATCTCATATTGTTGATGCTGGACCTCAGATTGCTCCCTCCTTGTCCATTTCCATGAGTTTT